TTAAGAGTTTGCATAATAGTGGTTATTACACTATTACCTGCTTTCCAACAATACACTTAAGCTCCGTAACATGTATCTATTTGACAAATGATGGAACATTTTCATTATCCATGTCAAAATCAAATGATTTTTAAAGCTACCAGGGACGTTAAGACATCAACCAGTTGATTTTCCCATATTTGACATGCTCTTGGAATTTTTTAATAGCAGCATTTCTCTGCCACATCAAAGGAAAATAGATCGGTGGCAAAATATTTAACATTTTTCAAATGGAATACTTTGTGTTCATGCTTTCTCTCTCCCGTATTGGGAGACCAGAAATAGAGACTTGTTCAAAACAGGGAGACGAGTTATTTTAATTCCCTAAGACTTGCTGTGTCCATAAATCCCACTCCTTAGTAATTCTTCAAATTTACAATTCTTGTATTGGACCCAGGAAGGGGGTGGGTAATTGGACCCATGCTGTGTGTAGGGGGCTCAGCTCCCATCGTGACTGCACAAACAACACAGGGGCTCATGGCACATCCAGCCAGACTCCAGTCCTCCTCTTGGACTATTCATAAATGCCTTGAAACTCCACAGCCAGAGATGAGTACGAATTTTGCTGAGGCATCATTCAAAGTCTAGGCAAGTCTGATCTGCAGAAATGCATCCCTCAGCTTCATGGTGAGACTATTTGTTGTTGTTGTTTTCTACTGGTCATTGTAAAGACTGTCTTTCTCAGGGAGCATCCTTATTGTACTGTATCTTTGCCGTCTAGATACCGAAAAAGATACCGATGACCACTTTTTACTGTTTTTATGGGTTATTGTATACATTCTGGTGATTCCCAGTAATTTGGAAATTTGCAAAGATCTCAAAATCTATCCCTTGAAAAAAATCAGGCCTCTATTCTAATAACTCACGTTTGCATAGCTCTGTTGGCTTATAAGCTATCTCCACTTAAATTGTCTTTTTTTTAGCCATCTTTAACAATATGCATTGTGGTGCTATATTTATAGGGCTTTATTCTCATCAACTAGTTTTCATTATACTTTCTAGACTTATCATTAATTTGTGTGTGTATGTGTGTACACATGTATGTAAACCTGCAGGTCTGAAAAGAATGACATTTAATTTTAAACTAGGAAATTTGCATTTTGAAATACATTTGAGAAACAGCAATGACACGATTGTGTTGAACCTTCAAGAAGTAGCAGAGCCCATGAATCAATTTAGGAAGACAGTAATTACTGAAAACCAGAAGTGATGTTCCAATGATTTCAGGTTAATTAAAAGAGGGCTTGGCCGTACTGCCCTCCCGACCTCAGCTGGCTGGTGTGACCTGGGTCGGAAATCCCCTGAAGTGGCCTGCCTTATCAATAAATAATCCATGAGTGCTGATATCATTATCTTCAAAACTGTAGCAGGAGATGGGCCTCCTGCACTTTAGAAATCAATGTCAAATTAACGAGTTCAGAGTCAAACCCAAGGCCTACGCCTGCATCATCTGAGACAAATTATATTGCCGAAGTCCAGTCAGATATTGAATAACAGTATCTCCATTTCATGAGTGCTGTCTTTCAGGCCATGTCCTGGTATTTTAGAAGCTAACTTTGAGGGAGAGAGAGAATAAAAATGCATACAATCAGTTAATAAATGAGATTAAATGATCTGTCCCTTGAAGAAAGATTAAATATATATTTTTGGTTGACTCCCACAAAGGTGTTCATGTTGATGGGTGCACAGCCATTTTCATTTCTTATTATGTAGAGGTAAGTACTAACACAGACAGTAAACCATGTAATATACTGCTTAATTTATAAAGCACGACAAGACATAATTTAGGAGTTTTGCATGTATAGCATGTAAAACTCATACAGAAAGTGCAGTCATAAAAGTAATATCCAATAAAGAGAAAAGTAACTGATTATTAATATTTTTAATGAAACTCATGCACTTCCTCCCCCCACCCCAAAGGAGAAAACAAACCGGCTTGAGGATGCATATGTGGCTTGCCGCATGCAAATTGGTACAGTTGCCTCAAACATGAGGAGACAGGAGACGGCTGCAAGTAGAGATGAGGTTCTCTTTGATGGAAAGACAAATGTGACCACTGCTTGTGTGAGAACTTGAATTGCAGCTTATATTTTTAGTTGCCTGTGGATAGAAGATATCCTATAGTTTGCTAGGTGCACACTAGGTAAGGATGGATGAGTGAATGAATGAATTTGTCCAGAAAAGACTTTAAGGATATGACTTTATGAATGAATGATGAGGGAGGTTGGTTTATGTCATAACAATAGTTACACAATGGTACACCATTACCATTATCATAGTGTTTTCAACTGTAAGTCTGATTTTCTTTTTTTTGGTGTTGTAAAGATGCTTAAAACAAATTGTGTATCTCCTTAAGCAATAGCTAATCGGTCCTTCTCCAAATGAGCATATTTAATAGGCAAAAGCTGCATTGAGTGGCAATCAGGCCTGCATGTTCTAAATAGGTTTTACAAGGACCTCGGGGGCGAAAGAGGACACTCTGGTTCCAGTTGTGCCTGCCAGTATTTCAGTGACCTTAGAAGAGACAGATCATTTATCTGATCAGATGCTGAGGTTCTGTCATTTCTGAAATGAGCTAACCAATGGATTTCTAAAGCATTTCCACATGGAGATGATCGTGAGCACCATCTTCATCGATAAGTCTGTGTGGACCCAACAGCATTTCCATAGATGACTTCATGGCAGAATTCATCTTCAGCTATGTGATCTCTGTTAATATGAATGAAGTGCAAGAAAAATGTATTCAACTGGGGCTCTGCAGATGGTTTAAACAGGTGCACTGTTCGGGGCGGTGGGCCTGGGTCATCTTGCTGTGGGTTGTGCAGGGGTCAGAGGTTATGCTTCAGCACCAAGGTCTCAAATGCCTGGCAAACCTCAGCAGCCCTTCATGGGGAAGAGAAAAAAAAATGTGTGTGTTCTTTATGAAATTTATGGGCTGCAAAAGACAACTGCACCTGCATCTGGTTTCCCTTACGGAAAACACATGAAAGCTGTTGCCAGGAACAGAAAGCCAAGCACTCTAGTTTCTGAAAGTGAACTGTGCAGGAACCCCGAGGAGATCTGGGATGTATCAGACACGCAGAAAGCAATCAGTTGATTGCAGCAAACCTGCCACTGGGACCAACGCTAGCCACATACTTCAGGGACATCCTGTGCCTTTGACCATGACATTCTATGAGAACAAAGATGTTCAAATTCGAGCGGGAGCTATACCTAATATAATGCATATGACATGTACCAAAAGCATTCCAAATGTTTCAGGTCTGCCTATGAATCCAGAAATTTCTCTCTTCATTTATTTGGTCAAAGGCGATTTTCCTAATTGGAAGTTACATGACGCCGTACAGAAGTGGTTTTTACGGCGCAGTTCATGTTGATATGCAGGACTTTGCTGGGATTTAAAATCAGTCCTGGCATTTCAAATACTCTAGCTGTATTTGTATATTTCATCCTATACTGCCCAATATTCTGGTATCCACCGAGCCCAGTTTCTACTATGATACAACTCATCCCAGTGGTTTATGAACCACGTGCGAAACTCTGAAGCAGTTTTCCAACAACAGTTTGGAGGCCTTTCCATGATCTGGGCACTTTGCCCGGGACTTGACACTCAAAGACACATAAAATATACATCCCTCAGAGTTCACTGTTACGGTGTTTCTGAGTTTTAGTTCGTTACTGTCCGTATTTGTTCCTTCACTATGATTTCCCGTTGGCTGTTTATCCACATAGAGTATATTGACAGCAAATTACCCACTTTCTCCATGTTTCCACGAAAGACCGAATGGAGAGACTGGAGAGGTCAGTTCCACTGCAGACTGTGACCGAATCGTTTAGGCTTCTGTAAAGGCATTTCACCTGCTTGGGCTACCGTTTCCTCATGTAAAGTGAGTAACTGAAGCCATAGGTGGTTTTTATGATTCTTTTCAATTGTAAGTTTCAAGGATTCTGTGATCCTAGGTGACCTCCTAATACTCAGTAGCTGTGAATTCAAATGACTGATGTGCATCCAAGATTTTACAACCAATGCTTACTCATGATGACATGTAAACACGGCCCTATTTCTTGATATTGAAAACTTAGGAATGTGGGGTGACATTTCTCACCCTTTTCCCCTAAAGGAAGGGTCTTCAGAGAACTTACGGCAATTTTCAGAATTGCAAACCCATCTTTGTAAGATTTATTTTTTAAATGTTTATAGAAAAAAAGTATCTTAATTCTTGAATAATATTCCAAGACAAGATTCAAAAGACATTTTGGGTCATCAGAACATCATTAAAATAATTGCCTAACTTAAACCCTCCACCATCCACTGCCCAAGTCCAGTTAATTGTTATTTTCTTATATATAAAATGTATTCTGCTTTATGTTTTATTAGCTTGGCATTTATTACATTGGAGTATAATAACATGGTAATGTCTGGTTGTGATACAGTTTCTTATTGTTAAGCAACAGTATTTAGCAAAATGTCCAGCATAGAGTAGCAAATATATTAAGTTTATCTTCAAAGAGACAATGAAGAAGAAAACAACTTGGACTATTTATTAAAATAAATCTGTCACACAAAGTAAGAAGTTGTTATGGTTAAAAAATGTATGGGAAAGTATTTAATCTCACAATCAAAAGAAACATACATTGTTAAAAAAATTCAAGGCTTTGAATTTGTTAAATTGGTGAAACATTTAAGAAGTAAGATTACCTACTGTTTGTTAGAGTGTGTGCAGTAGATGAGTTATAAATTGCAGTTTGGTAAGCTTTTTGGCAATCCGTATCAATTACCCTAAATATGCATATGCTCTTTATTTGGCAACTTCACATCTGGAAATTTATCCTAAGAATATTAAAAATAAAAAGCTATCAAAATATCAAATTTTAATTAATATTGACAAATATTCACAATATATTTGTCAAAGTCTTAGTCAAATTAGGAAATGTTAACCCCAAATAGAAAAATGACCAGCAACTGAAACATGTGTAAGTAAAAAAATAAGATAGTATATTATGCAATTGTTAAAGTGTTTGACATGGGTATGATAACATCAAATGATAAACAGATTTATAGCTTGTAATAAGTACAGAACAAATACAAAGCAATACAATTAGTAAATATAGACTCATGGGGGATAATAAATTTATTTTATTTAAAAGCAGCTGTTACCAAACCATGTCTGTCTTTCCAACATTTACATTTTTATCCAGGCTAAGAGTTTGTTCTCAAGTCTGCTCCCAAGCTCATGCATAATACAAGCTAATGTAGACCCAAGCACTGAGCCAAACTCCAGCTCTGTACTACATTTATTCTTATCAGTTACTTTTAAAAGGAGACATGAATATGAATTCTGCTTAATAAGCCAGCATGAAAACACAAAAGCCACCCAGAAGATGCAGTTAAAAATAACGTAAGCGGACACGGTTTTGGCAAGTTACTTTAAACCACCCGTAAGCCAGGTGGAGTTAGTTCATTTCACCCAGCGGATCGATCAATCATATAAATTTGCAAAGGGGTCTAGTTTGTGGACCGGAGTGAAAGCAGGCAACATTTGAGAATTGCTCCCTTTGGTTTTGGTAATAGAATTGTGGTTGTCAGGTTGTGTGCTACTCATGGGTAAGAGAGTCTCACATTATAATCCGTCTGCATGAGTAATATCCGACAGAGGAGGACTGCTTGAAACCAAGTAGTGAGACCACAGATGGGGATTGTGCCGTGGTGCTCTTTACTATGGCAACGGAAGGGGAAGGACACTAGGAAAACACTATTTCACTGTTGACTGATGCTTGTTGGACGGGCAGTCAGCCCTGTGCTAAGATAAACACCCGCATTCCTGAGTGCTTGGGTTCTGGTCTTCAAAACTGTGGCCCTGAAATGGTTCTTCAAAATATTTTGAGAGGCAATAATGCCAATTTGTATGTAATTAATTGCTTTTGAAGCTTATCTGAATCACCATAGGGGACAGCGAGAATCAGTACTTAAAATCATGTAGAGTAGCATTTGTTTTACATCTCAGAATTTACAAAACCATTGCTCAATTATGTCGCCTAATTTTCCCGATAACACTGTAGTGATGTTGGGCCATGTTTATCATGTTTTCGCAGATGAGAGGAGAGCCCAAGAGTCAAATAAAAGGTTTGTTCAATTTTGTGTTCTCTGTAAAATATTGAAAACAACAATTACTTATGTTTTTATTCATCCACAAGTTCAATGATAAGAATTATAGAGAACAAAGGAATAATAGCTCTTCTACCCCTCTTTTCCCATTCCTCTACTCTTCCGATGATAACCAATGTGTATGGCCTCATACACATTATTTGTGGTGCATTTAGACACACATGTCAAAATCTATGTAACTGCATGAAGTATACACACTTTGTGTACTACTTACTTTTTTCATTTAGTAGTGTATAATGAACAACTTTCTAAAGTACTAGAGGTATAGCCCCTTCTTCACGGCAGTACTTCTTGACACTTCTTTATAGATATATGATTTTATTTAACTAAGGCTATACCATTTGTTATTTGGGAAGTTTACAAATTATGCTTTTACAACGATATGCACACATGGGTGTCGATCAATTAGTTCCAATGTAATAGTGAGTAAAACTGAACGGAAACCAAAGAGGTGGGAGGGGAGAGGAGGGCGTGGGTAAATTCGCACCTAATGGGTACAGTGCACACTGTTTTGGTGATGGGCATACATAATACTGGTGGTATGACGAAAAGTAGGTGTAGTTGAGGATTAGTTTTTAAAAATAAAACTAAGCTGTGGCTCACACATTTAATCTTAGCACTCTGGGAAGCTAAGGTGGGAGGATCACTTGAGGCCAGGAGTTTAAGACCAGTGTTAGCAAGAGCAAGACCCCCATCTCTACAAAAAGTAGAGAACATAGCTGGGTGTGTTACCATGTGCCTGTAGTCCCAGCTACTCAAGAGGCTGAGGCAGGAGGAGCGCTTGAGCCAAGGAGTTCAAGACCAGCCTGGGCAACATAGCAAACCCTCTTTGCTACAAAAAAATTATACATTAGCCAGGTGTGGTGGTGCATGCCTGTCGTTCTAGCTACTTAGGAGGCAGAGGCAGGGCTGGAGTAGAATAAGTGAAAGGAAGAAAGGCTTATATGCTGTTCCTCAAAGAAGCCAAATGTGCTCCTTCACAGGGCCTTTGCACTTGTACTTCTTACTACATGGTTCTCTTCTTTCTTGCATGTTTGTATGGCTTACTCTCTCATTTCATTCAGGTCTTTGCTCAAATGTCATTTCTTTAGAGAAGCCCTGCAATGCTCTCTAACCCCTCTCTCACACCATCCTATGTACTTTTTTTTATTGCCTGTCTGCTCTGTTAAAATATAAATTCCACAAGAGCAGAATCTCCCCATCACTCAAAACAGTGCCTATCACATAAAAGATGCTCAATAAATATTTGTTGAATGAATAAATAAATGTACTTTAGTCTGCCTGTTGGGTGTTTCAACACTAGGAGCCAGAAAGAGATGTTACTAAAATCCTCGGGGCATTTCATTTCAGTGTGGAATAATATCTTTACTAATATTAATCATGATCTAGTTCAATTGCAAATCAAAGAAAGTCATAAAATTTTTTAATCTGCCTCTCATTTATTCTCTTCAAGTGATCCAAAAGTAGACCCTCTTGGAATAGCTGTGAATTGCCAAATGTAATGCAACTAATTTATTTTTGTTCCTTCTTTAGAATATTAGGTTATTTCCTATCTCTTTCTCACATATACATTTTATAGCCCACTGGCAGGAATTCAGTTCCACTGATAAATGTATGTACCTAGCAAGGGTTAGTTATATAAATCATAAGAGTAAATCAAGGCCCATGGACCCGATGAGCTGGCCACAGTGATGGGAGAGCACAGAAGTGAAAAGACATTGGGAAAGACACTGTAATGTAGGAACTTATAAATGCTAGTGAATGTTTCCCCTTTCTAGTCAGTCTTAGGTTAGGACATAGCCTGACTCTAAATGTACCATGTATGCTAAGTCGTCAGTAAAATATTTCAAGTTAACATAAAAATATTAAATTCCATCTTTTTGGAATGCTAAGGTGCCATAGCTATAGGAAGGATGAAGGATGGAAGGTTGGAGGATATATTCAAGTATAGGAATAAGTGGAGCACTGGTAATATTAATAGCTTTGAGAAATTAAAAAAACAAACAAAAACTTCTTGCAACATTCTCCTAGCCACCTGGAGGACTGCAGGAACATTTAAAAAGATGTTGCTGTTAATCCAGATATGGATGATAGGGATGATATGGATGGCCAGAGCCTTGCACTCAGAGTGAGATCTGTACACAGTGTGGGCTTTGCCTGGGTGCTTATTAAAAATGTTGAATCTCAGGCTCCCCTCCAGACCCACTGAATTTGAATCTGTATTTTGACAAAATCCCCAGCTGATTCACACACACAATAAAGTTTGAGAAGCTCTGGCCCAGAGCAGTGTTAATGAGGATTGAGGAGCCCAAGTAAATTCCAAAGGTATCCCCAGTGGTAGAACAAATTATTGAAATAAGACCCTCCTTACTGTTTTCACTTTCCAAATGCCAAAAATTGCAAAGGTTTAGGTTCATTTACTAGCTGTTTGACCTTGGGTGAATTATTTAACTCCCCTATGCCTCATTAACATGGCTCTGCTGTCACTAAATTATCCAAAAACCTCTAACTGCCAACTTTATTGATTATTTGTAATCTTCCTCCTCTTGCATTTCCCTGTCAAATGGTCATATAGTTTACTTTAATTCTTACATATTTGATCTACCCCATTGTGAGGTTAATAAATTATTGGAGAGAGAATACCAAGACTAATGATGGGTCCAATGTGTCCCTGCTTCTAGCTGTGGGGAATGAGAAGATTGCCTCCCTAGGAAAGGTAACTATATAAATAGGTAACCTAAATGGAAAATTGCTCAACAAATTTATTTATTATGCTTAATGCTTGCACATAGAATAAATTTGGCAGAAGTAACTAATTTCTGTACCAAAGGAGGAACAGCCTAGATTATATAAGAATTAGTTCCTCTTCCCTTAGAATGGTGGTTTTAAACAAGCAGGAAATCATTATCACCATTATTTTTAACACTTAGGATAAATTTCCAAAAGCCCATTTACCCTCAGGTGGATATGGTGAGGCTAAGGGGCTGAGAAGAGTAAATAAACAGAGCAGATTTTAAACTTAATTGATGATGGCTTCCAAGGACGTTTATTTTTTTCCCCAAGGACCTTTAAAAACTCACATGTCTTAAGGGAAAAGTTTGTCCTTATAGCTTATCAATAGATGACTAATAATTTTAAGCTATTTTTATTTTAACCATTTTGAACTGTTTTTATCTACAATTTGTCCCCACCTAGTGCCTAAACAGAATTGCCAGTACATTCTAGACAGAATAAAATGCTTCATGCCAAATAACAGCTAGAAGAGAGCACTTGGGAATGGCAGAGAAAGGACTTCTGAAAATCTTTTCTTCCATACAAGCAATGTGAACACGTGCAAAAAAAATTCTCAAAATTAACTTTTTCAGAACTCTGAAGATTAACAAAAGACCCACAACTATCAAAGGAGATGTTATTCAAGAAAAATGGCTGAATCTAGGTAAAAAAAGTGAGCTGTATGGAATTTTAATGTGTCCTATTTCTGTACCTTGAAGTGAATGGAAACAAAACTACAACATACCAAAATTCATGGTATATGGTTAAAGCAGTACAGAAAGAAACTTATGGGGATATACACCTATATTTAAAAAAGAAAAAAATCTCAAATTAATAATTTAAACTTCTACCTTAAAAAATAGAAAACAGAGCAAGCTAAATTAAATGTAAGCATAAGTAGGAAAATAATAAAAATTATAGTGGAAAGAAATAAAATAGACAATAGAAAAACAATACAGAAAAATCAATGGAAACAAATGTTGGTTCTTTGAAAAGATCAACAAGATTGATAACAATTTAGCTAGACTGAACAAAAGAAAAGACTCAAATTACTAAAATCAGTAGTGAAGGAGGAGACATTACTACCAAACTTATAGAAATAAAAAGGATTACAAGGGAATACTATAAGTGACTGTTTACGAATTAAATAATCTATGTGAAATGAATATATTCCCAGAAAGACAAAAACTACTGAAATTGATTCAAGAAAAAATAGAATATCTGAATAGACCTATAACAAGTAAAGACATTGAAATCATATTTTTAAAAAATTATCCAAAAGAAAAGCCCAATCCCAGATGGTTTCCCTAGTGGATTCTACCAAACATTTTAAGAGGAATTAACATGAATTTTTTGAAAACTCTCTAAAAATTAGAAGAGGAGGAAACATTTCCCAACTATTCTAGGAGGCCAATATTACCTTGATGCCAAAACCAAAGCCATTGCAAGACAATAAAACTCTAGACCAACATCCCTTATGAATATAGGTATAAAACTTTTTAGTGAAGTACTAGCAAACTGAACCCAGCAACATATAAAAAGAATTATACAACCTGACCAGGTGGGATTTATTCCAGGAATGCAAGGTTGGTTTAACTTCCAAAAATTAATCAATGTAATACACTGTATTAATAGAATAAGAAACCAATCACATGATAATCTCAGTAGATACAGAAAGCATGTGACAAAATTCAACACTCTTTCATGATAAAAAACACTCAACAATCTAGGAATATAAGGGAACTTCCTCAACCTGTTAAAAGATATCTATGAAAAATTCACAGCTACCATCATAATTAATGGTGAAAAATTGAAAGCCTTCCCCTCTATAATCAAAAACAAAACAATGATGTCTGTTCTTATTGCTTATATTTATATCATCTGGAGATTTTAGCTGGGGCAGTTAGGCAAGGGGAAAAAAGGCACCCAGATTGGAAATAGAGGAGTAAAATTATTTCTCTTTGGAGGTAACATGACATTACACGTATAAGATTTTAATGAATCCATAAAAAAATAAAACAACTAATAAGTTCAGCAAGGCTACAGGATACAAGATCAATATGCAAAATTCAATTGTATTTTTATACACTACCAATGAACAATCCCTAAATAAAATTAGGAAAATAATTTCATTTATAATAGCACTAAAGAGAATGAAATACTTGGAAATAAATTTAGAAAAGAATTGCAAGATCTGTACACTGAAA